CTAACAATTGTTTGTCTTGGAAAAAGTTCGGGAGAAACAACCTCGTAGTAGGATCCTCCTTCACCACGACAACGCCTCGTCGCACACCGCCAAGCAAACAATTAACTACTTGGCGACGTCAGACGTGGAATTACTGGGTCACCCGCCCTATAGCTCCGACCTCGCACCTTGCAATTTTTATTTATTTCCGAAATTAAAAGAATAACTTCGAGGAAAACGTTTTATGGACGCCGAGGAAGCAGTGGCTGCGGTTCAAAATGCCGTCGAAGAGACTCCTAAGGACGAGTGGGCAAAGTGATTTTTTCAGAGGTTTCATCGGATGCAGCTATATATTGATGTAAATGGACACTATTTTGAAAAGATATAATAAAATTAATAACTTGCTAGTTTTTTCATTTTTTGATTTTCTAAGAACTTTCAGCGTCACCCTCGTAAAGTAAGACGTAATACACATATACGGAAATTAGAAATGACTCGACATTTAGAACTGGTACGGTTTCTCAGGCTTACTTAAGTTAAACTTAATAACATAAACGCACAGGGATGAACAGAACTTTAATTACATGCTATCAGATTCTATCAGAAGATGTGACACGTACTTTTTGCTTTAAAATTTCAGATCCCAGACAAAATTTGAAGTTCATTAACAATTAATATAAGATTTTATTTTTTATTTTAGACTAATATTATAGAGTAAAGCTATCTAAAGGTAAACCCAATAATTTTAGCCCCTAGCGCATCAATTAACTCGTAGGTGTTTTACACGTATTCAGCCTTCGACAATTTAGAAGAGGTGATCTTTATGTTTCAGTCTGCTCCATTTCTTCCAAAATACTAGGTATTATAACAGAATTTTATTTACATTTGCTCCTGGCCACTAAAAACGAAGTACTTCACATTTCCTAGATGTCCATGTTACTGATTTTATAACGAACAAAATACCATCAATAATACATCGACGTTATCTTACACATTACATTAAGTACATACAGCATTGTCTTAATAGGTCGAAGCAAAGACTATAAATTATCAAGTTACATTAAAATATACATTGGTGACATTTGATCAAAATGTGTATGTAGCAATAACTAAATATAGTATGCTGAATTTAAAAATTTCAGCCGATTCAGTCGAATTTCGAAATTCTTGTAAGGCATGCTTCCTCTCTTTTAAATTGCATACAAACCTACGTACATCTTAAATTGTAAGTTTTACTTTAAATAATATAACTAATGTTTTAATAACATAATAATTAACATATTAAATATCACTGCACTCTTCAGAGCGTAGCGTTACAATTATTTCTATAGAATTAAATGCATTTTTATAATGAGCCCGTTAGAAATCAGAGTGATACAATTTTTTTATAAACGATTCTATCAAAACATTTTTGAACTTCCAAGTCTTTAGACACCCACAGATTCATAATATTTATTTGCATTATGTGAGCAGTGCAGAACGCAAACAATACAGTTATACAAGCAACAAATCGGTAGTTTCTTGCGAAGATTCCCATTGACTTGCAGGAAATGATGCCACGTCCTCAAAATGGCTGCTTTCAGTTTAGTAACCGGAGAGGTCAGCAAACGTTTGATCCACTTCTTCTGCTATCGCTTTATATTTACTACGTTCTTCCAACACCTCGTCTGTTGTTAGTAAGAATTAGTGAGTTAATGACAAATTAACATGAAAACGATGTTATTTAATAGTACTTATATGTTTACTTACGAGAAAGATGTATGTAGACATCAATTTGATTTATCATTAGTTGTTAAATGGTTTTAAAGACACAAGGTTAAAATAAACTATAAAATGTTTTTTTTATTTTTAATAGGGCGCTTATAAAATGACATATACAACTAATTACTGTTACTGTACTATTTGGGATCTAAGTACATACATTTTAGGGTGCATATAATATCTATTTTTCCCAAAAGGACCAATTTTACCAACAAGTGGTTTATCCTGTTCATAGACGGACGAAGCTCTCGAAACAAACTATTGGCAGAAAATTCATCACAAACCTGTACTATGTAGTCTGTTCACTAATATAGAGTCGGTAAACCCGCAGGCGCACTTATTACTTTACTTTTATTTTATTATTTATATTGTTTGTTAAAAAGATGTTTTTCTACCCTAAGAATAAAATGAAATATAGGATACAACATTTATACTGTTCAACGTTAGACGACATCACATTTACAGTCGTCCATTTTTGACAGTGCGATTCTTTTGTTTTTAAATTTATTTGATGTTGATGGACCCTTTTTTAATATTGATCCAACTCTAGTTCTTGGTATCCCCACTATCTGTGATAGGTGCAGACACATTAATTTGAACACAATACCGATGGACATTGACCAAATATAATTTATTTACATGTTTTACAAAAGACCCATGTTTTTCTTTTGAGTTCACTCAAAATTTCATCTTGGGGCACTTCACTGTCCTTCCAAGGATAAAAACATTTTCTGTATTCAGAGCAGAGTCAACAAAAACATCCTTTCACTGCGGCGCTTCGTTATATAACGCCAAATTATCCTGCGGGTGTACTGCGCTTGCGTTAACCTTTCATATCGCAGTGACGCCTTTGACAGGATACGGCACGTGCCAAGGCAGCTCGATACAGAAGCAACCGTATCTAAGCGAACACTTTATGGGCTGTGGGTGTAATATACTTCATGAGTAAAGAACCCGACCAGAGTCAAACAATAGTCAAGTACTAATTATAGTATTATTATTGAGGTAGATATCAATCATATACATTTTTATAGAAGAGGGGGGCTAACGAGCATGCGACTCACCTCATGGTAAGCAAATACCGCCGCCCATGAACAATCGCAACACCAGGGGAATTGCAGATGCGTTGCCGGCCTTTTAGAAAGGAGCTCTTTTCTTGAAGGTCCCTAAGTCGTATCGGTCCGGAAAATTCGCCGGTAGTAAACAATTCCACAGAGAAGTTGTACGAGGAAGAAAAACTCCTAGTAAAACATACAGTAGTGAACCGCCAAGCATCCAGATGGTGAGGATGGTATCGGGAATTTCGATGCGATGTGCGTTCGTGAAATTTGGCGGCTGGAACTAATCCGAACAATTCTCCAGTACACTCCCCATGGTAGATAGGATAGAAAACGCAAATGGATGCAGCAACATCCTGCGCAACGCCAGTGAATCGACCCGATCAGAAAACACTCGGTCATCGACGATTCGAATCGCTCTGCGCTGGATGCGGTCAAGTGAAAGGAGCTGGCACTGGGGTGCCCCGGCCCAGAGATGAGAACAGTATTCCATATGAGGCCGTACTTGCGGTTTGTAAAGTTGCAAGCAATGTACCGGCATGAAATACTATCTCGCTCTGCTAAGCACGCCATCTTTTTAGAGGCCAATTTGGTCTTCCCCTCCAATGACAGCCAATGCCTCCTTGGACTCTACTACCTCCGCCCATCTATGAGTATCACCAGCTGATCGACCACGACGGAAACCGTATCGGCGGTCACTGATCAGCTGGTGATCCTCAAAGTACTTCATGAACTGGTAGTTTACAATAGACTCAATTATGAATTTACTTGGACGGGTCTGAGCGGTCGCCTTTCTTAGGGATCGGGGACAAAAGCTCTTCCAAGAATTCGGGACTACGCCTTGGGAGTAGGAGTACCGGAAAAGACGCGTTAAAAGTTAAAACCGGTGCCAACTCCGGAACACACATCTTCAGCACAATGGGAGGGACTCCCATCAGGCCCACTCGACTTACTAACGTCCAGAGAGAAGTGCTTTGCGAACCGGGCGCTGTGTAAACCGCGGGCGGTGTGTTCCCCCCGTCATCGAGAGTCGAGTTGGACGCAAAGAGAGAGCGTAACAGATCGGCTTTCTCCTTTGCGGCCTGGGCCAGTGAGTCGTCCTCTATATGCAGAGATGGTAGAGATGACTGACAGAAGTTCCCTAGGACAGCCTTGGCGAGAGACCAGAATACATGGGTTCCCGAAGGAAGACGAACTAGCTTCTCGCCAATTCTGCCGATGAGCTCAGACCTTACCTTGGCAATGACTCTTTGCCCAATGAGCCCAGGCCTGTTTATAGCGTGATGCTATTTTACAGGACACCACAGACGACGGAATAAAAAGTACCACACCCTGAAGTAATACATAACACATATGAAGTAACACATTTATAATTTACCATTCGACTAAAAGGCATAACAAATTAATTAACCGTCTGTGGCAACACAACAAAAATAAGTAAAAATTTTAACGCTTATTAGGAGCTTCAACTCTGGTCGGTTTCTTTATTCGTGCAACTACACCAAGCTGTCTGGTCACCATGATATTGGCAAATATTTAAACAAATGAAAGAAATAGTGTGTGCATTTATGAAAAGGTCTGTATCCAACAGTTGTCTGAAAAATGATGACCCTTTATTTAAATCATGCAATTATCTACAAATATAATAAACAGATTGGCAATATGAATGTTCTAACTACAGATAAATAACTTCACACATACGTTCCAATAACTAAATAAAATATATACGCAAAGTGCAATCATTATATTTTTTATATTTTAACATCATTTATATCTTGCTTTCTCTTCAAGTAAAGGAGAATATTTAAAGAATTTACTTTCTAATCAACATGCCCTTTAAGATTACAAGACACTAATATCAGGACCAAATACAAAATATAACCTGACAAGCAAAAGCAACCTTATTAATTAACTATATAATTAAACTTATGTACCTACGAAGGTAACATTCTAATAAAATCATTTCATTTTTTAAACTTGAATTTCGATTCAATTTAATATGTGTAAAGGAAAATAAAACGAAAATAATAAATAATAAATTATTTATTAAGATAAATAAAAAATAAATACCGCCATAAAACTATGGATTTATATAATACTTTAAATCAATATAAAATATAAAGTAAAATACGTCTATACAGATATTGTGTGAATCGCAGGCAGCTGGCGTAGCCTTGGGAAGAGTGGTGATGCAGCGAGAACTTAATCCTTAAGGATGAGCTCCACGAAAGCGGTGTCGAGGTCGTCTCCGATGTCCTTGTATTTCTCCTTCTCGGCGACAAGTTCGTCTGCATATACGTGCGTATTAAAATTTTCATCGGGTATAATTACCGTACCATTATAAATTATTTTATTGCCCAATATGAAGCAAACATTTAATAGTCCTTATAAACGAACGTTTCGAAACGTGTCCTTGCTGGCAATAGTATACTTATAATATCTTTGTGATATTAGGCCTAAAGATCACTAAATATGTACTTATTCGATGAAGTTTATACATTATTATATACATATATACATTTGTAAAGGAAAATAAACCGTAACTGGTACACATACTTTGCCAGCGAAGGAACAATAGATACATTGCCAATTGAATTAATTCGCGCGCTCTTCAAGTCAAGTTTTAAAGCAAATTAGTGGCAACATTATGCGAGAGCGTGTGTAGTAGTAATAATTAAAAGAATGCTTACATGTCGCGTTCCTTTTCACTCCGAAGCCATGCGTCGCTCTCAATAAAGCTTGAGCTTTTGCTCAAAATGTCCGTGTCACATCAACGCTTTCATGCAATTTGTAAGGAAGCGTTTATTTCATAATTTAGAAAGTGGTAGTGTTTTACTCTTTTTAATTAAAGCGAGTTAATGGGTAACGTTTACTAGATTTTAAATACATGAATTTAGGCGTTAGTATGAGTTGAGTCTTCAATTACAGCGCGTGCAACGATGGCAGTATCGAGAAGGCGATTGTTCCATCAGGCCCAGTTCTCGGAGGAATCCGTCGACTTCAGTCTCGATTTCGTTGGACAACCCTTTACCGTTGATCAGATCGTCTGTGGAAACCAGCGCATTCAGTCATTTCACGCCGTTCATTTGTTAATCTGAATCGCGGACATGCTTCGAGCCACTTGGACTATTGAATAATGTATAAGGTATCGCCTAGCGAAACGCCGTTCCATCAGCTATGTTCATCTCATTTATTTTTAAAATATAAAATTTACAAAGCTAGCCTATTGGTATAATTTAATGTTGTGTTGTGTTCGCGTCAACAATTGTAATTAGTTAAAAAGTGGTGGTATGATGTGGTGACAAAAAAGACTTTATTCAGCAGGAGTTTCAGCTGGGGCTGCGGGGGTTTCGGCTGGGGTTGCGGGAGCCTCAGCTGGTGCTGCAGGAGTTTCCGCTGGGGCTGTGGGAGGTTCAGCGGGCGGCGCGGGAGCGGCAGCTGGGGGAGGCGGCGGCCTGCGCGCCTCTTCTTCCAGGCGCTCCTTTTCCTTCCTCGCCTCCTCTTCCTGCTTCTCTTTCTCCCGCCTCGCAGCCTCCTCCATTCGCTCTTTCTCCTTCTTCGCGGCCTCTTGTTGCCGGGCGCGGTTTTTGACGGCGTTTTCTAGCTGCCTCTCCGTGGGCTGAACTCCCGGTATCAACTCCACAACCGCGTCGTCAATGTTGTCACCGATGTCGTTGTATTTTTCTATCTCGTTGATCAGGTCATCTGTAGCAGGCATTGGTGGTGAGCTCGTCTCTCTCGATATATGGTCATGCGATTCTCTTCATGCCTCTCGCTGTTAACACTTTGAAACTGACCGGATTTTTCTTTGGGAAGCATGCGTTAACATTTTACTAAGTTCACTACTCTAGTCTCATCTCTTCGGTTTTCGAACTACATGCTCCGACATAAACTTCGTTATTACGTTTAAGGTATGTCCTTGCGTTCCTGGGATACATGCTTTTAACACATGGCGTCGCCATACTTCGCTCAGCATGTCTCTTAGACGCTTCCTCTCACGACCCGTGCTTAGGGTAAGTTATTAACAATACAAATTTGTTACCAAATAAAATGGTTGTTTAGTTTATCTCTGATATTTCTGCATGTTAAAGTGAATTATTTTTATATGAATGAAATGATCAGTAAAATGATAGCTGATAGAATCGACACGTCATTAGTAACTCACACAGGACAATAAAGGGTTCACACAGATTAGTAAAAAAAGAAAACCATCTAAAAATAATAATATTATATATTTATAAACACTTGTGTTAGAATACTCTTAAAATCATTAATTTATTTTTCACGAACTTATCTATTAATGAATAAATCGATAACATTTTAAAGACGGAATGGTTTCGATTGATCGAAGTTTTCGTATTGTAATAATAATATTGATATTATACTCACAGCACAATGAACGTGCTGTACTATGGAATGCTAGGCTTCAGTCTCGAGAGACGAGACTCGAGGCAGAATTATTGCCAGCGCATCTATATAAATAACAACCGTATTTGCAACGGACTCTCTTATGTGGAATGCTATTTATTTACTTAGCAATTAAATTAAATAAATAACAAAAACTCAAATTATGACACAAGAAAGGAATCATACTCGAAACAATGTCAAAATAATTCATAGCAAGTACATTCTTATAAATATTAATATTTACGAGTTACCGTCTCACTCATTTAAATAAAAAATATCTAATCTTTTCTATCATAAAGTAAATAAAGAGTTCATAGTAAATAATAGCAAACAGTGCACTCTTATAAATGAATATTAATAATTTTAAAACATGAATGTCAAAATAATAACATGACATTATTGATACACAAATACTGAGCCATTGAGTTTGTAGCAATATTATACATCGCGCATTGGTCCCGAAATTGGAATGTTCATTTGCAATGTGAGTGCCAAAAAGAAATTTGCCTATTTCTTTATCTGTATACTATGAAAAAGCATTTAGGATAGTGCAGCAATAATTTGCAATAACACTTTTGAAAATCTCAATGGCAAAAATATAAATTATCCGTGTACGAAGTAAAAAATTGCACTTGGCAGTGGTGTCGTAGCGAACACTCCTTGACGTTACAATAAAAGCGGCTGGCAACTACTCTAAATCTAGAAACATCTAATCGCTCGCCCGAATCACTAACCGTTTGATAAGGTTGTTGATAGTTCTACAAAAAGAAAGACATATAAAGAGAAGTTAATGAAAGAAAGCCATTACACATACAAGAACTGTCACAAACACGATGTGATTGAAGAAATATTTCACTTCATTTGCATTTCGCGCCAAGTGATTTTAATACAGAGCTCTCGAAAAGCAGCCTTACATAATATTTATAATATAAAAAAATATAATATTAGCAAATAGGGTAAATATAAAAAATGCCGAGAGATACAAGTAAAGTTGGGAGTAGTGACTCGGGCGTAGCGAGGCAGGGGGGGCGGTGGGGAGCGGGGGGGAGATGTTCACATGTTCTGGATGTCGTGGAGCGTGGCCTCCATCTCCTCCTGCAGGAGTTTGCTTTTTTCGCGCTCGGCTACCAGGTCGTCTGCAAGGTCGGACGTGGCCACGGTCAGTCGCACACAAAACAACGTTCGGTTCAAACAACGCCGTAGACGATTGACATATTATCTCATGAAAATTGTATTTTATTATTACAGTAAAAAATAAATAAACAGTTGTCAAATCACAATACCGCGTTATTTGAACCGAGGAGCACAGGCAAAATTAAAGTTTCACGTAAATAAAAAACCATGCAATCACAGAAACGAAGACAATAACGGTCCGAGCACTAGTATGAACACAAAAATACATGCTAATACAATTATGTGCACGTAACTGAGATTTTCATTTATTTTTTGTGAAGACAACAGTATGATGAAATCAACAGTTATGAGCACCGGAAAATTAAAACTATATAATGTTACAATAAAAATTAAAAAAAGCTAGAATTATAGCACCATGATAGAGTAACTAAGCTTTCACATCTACTGTACAACTTTGTAAAAACGCAGCTCTAACAATGCTTCAAACGAGCTAGCTTGAATTGTTCAAAGCTTTGGGTATTATGTAAAACTCTGATGCAACTTGACTTCAGAGACATTAACTTCTACTTAGCTAATCTGCCGTACCGGAAAATACAACTGTGCAATTATCTGCAGGACCTTTGAAACTAGCATCAAAAATATTCATTATTCATAGTCTTAAATGCTTGACGTTTGGTAATTTATAGTGAATTTAAATATAATAAATTCAGTACTTAACATATTTTATAATATAACCCGATTTTTTTCCAAAAACAACTATTATTACCTTCAAGCCTGTCGACCTCCTTTTGAAGTTTCTGAACTGAACGCTCGGCAAATTCGGCGCGCGCCTCGGCCTGAAAATATTTTAATTTATTTAAAGTCGCTGAACTGAGATGAACAGCCTATTCTTTGTTTTCCCTTCGTCTAATATTGACGTTCACTTTAGTATATTTTTAAAAAATATTATAAAGTATTTTTATTAAAACTCTTAAGAAGAAATATATGTTACAAAGAATAGACTGTTGCTTTTTCATACTGCACATCAGTTTTAGTTTTATTAATTTCAAAATGTTAATTTCTCAAGCGGTCTTACTTATGAAAAAATTTAAGAGATTTCCATAGCATACTCTTTTATCAACTTTGTTAAACACACATAAATCGCATTTTTTTTAGAATTTTATTCAATAGTGCCCCATAAAAGTTAATATGCTGATAAAAATTACTAAACATGTTTACAGTTCATATTAAATGTTATAATAAACAGTTCGTATAACTTATTCATAAACGTAACGCTACTTAGATCAGATGCAGCTGCTAATTTTATCTTAATAATTATTGTAGATTTCAGTTGTTATGCAGGACTATTTTCAAAGTCATGGAAGGTTTGCGTTCTACTTATTAGTCAATAATATTACGTTGAATAGAACTAATAAATCCCTTAACATTTTTTCCATAAGACCGTGATCTTTTTAACTTTATTTAAATTTCAAAATATTAAAATATTTTTAACTAAAAGTGAAAAATATTAACGTTAAATTGTATGGACAAAAAGTACCATAATTAAAAAACCAAAGCGACACAAACACCATGCAGTTTACCTTGACCGCAAGAAGCTAAGTGCTGTACTGGCTGAATCACTAAGAAACAATAAATATAGTATACCATCACCCTTTTTAAATATAATTGCCATACCATAAATTTGATGACTGATTATTGCTATATACAAAAGAACAGCAGGTGGCTTTGGTCACAACTTTTGATATTGCCGAAAAGTTCAAGTCATTAAAGTTAATTTCCAAGTAGATAGTTTTAATAACGAGAAAATCATATTGACAACTAATTGATAGAATCAGGCGTTACTTTGCGGAAATCCATTATAATAAAAAAATATATAAATTTCTTCGCAACCTTCCGCTAAACAAATACAATGATGTGTCTTACCTGGATTGAAGAGCACCTCCCGCCCTCCCTCAATTGCATGCACTAACTCCGTCACCACTAGTCCCAACACCACTACTCCCAACACCACTATTCCAGGCAAGACACACCATCGACGATAATACGACACGTGTTTCGCCTCTACACGAGGCATCTTCAGGTAATGTAGACTCTACGGCCGTAGAGTGTACATTAGCTCGACTCTACATTACTATCGTCGATGGTGTGTCTTGCCTGGAATAGTGGTGTTGGGAATAGTCGTGTTGGGAGTAGTGGTGTTGGTACTAGTGGTGACGGAGTTAGTGCATGCAATTGAGGGAGGGCGGGAGGTGCTCTTCAATCCAGGTAAGACACATCATTGTATTTGTTTAGCGGAAGGTTGCGAAGAAATTTATATTTTTATTTTTTTTATTATATTGACAACTGTTTTGCTATTTGAATTTGCGATTTTTCCAACGTTAAACATCAAACGTTTTCAATTCCCGGTACAAATTTTCTGTACATTTTAATTTCATCTACAGTGTTCTATAATTAACTATTATATATAATGTTTTGTCAATTGTAATTTTACATAAAGACGTATGTAATATTTAAAGATAATTTCATTCAATGAGCGGCAAAATCAATCACTGTAAAAAATGGCAACCAAAGCCACTCGCGGGGAGCGTAACTTACTTGCGTCAATTTCTGCGAGAGGCTGTGGATCTTATCCTCGACGTGCTCCCGCGACGCCATCGCCTAGCCACACAGGACTCGTTATATGGGGCAAGCCACCGCCATGCGGGCTGTACTGCGATGTTGTGATAGTACGCTCCAAACAAATTAGCTTTTTATATAGATCCTCGTGATCGACAAGTACTATTGGATAGCTCAGCTCTAACTAAAAATAACTACAATTGAAAGCTTCCTTAAGCTTCATTTTATATGCAATATTTCATTTTTAATATGTATATAAAAAAACAAATACTACAAAAGCGTAGTTGCATGAATCATTCATAAGTTACGAAGATAAAATATTTACAATTTCACTCACAGCCTGTATGAAATTAAAAGAAAAAGGGGTGCTAAGGAATAAATAAATTTAATTAAAAAAACTGTTGAAAAAATTATACCCAATAAAGCGTACAATCACAACACAGGCACATAGTACATAAATAATGAGTAAAAATAGAAAAAAAAATTAATACACAGGAGACACATAGAAGAAAGAATTCTTAAATAAAATATGGAAAGGTGAAGCACCAACCGCTGACAGCCAGACGTCTACACGAACCTACCACCATCGTACACAGCCCTTACATCTTTACTATATATAACAAGCATAATATCCACAGTTTAACTCGATTACATTACATATTTTACGAATAGCAATGGCGCAAGGGCCAATATCCTCCAACGCAATGGCAATGAGAGCATGGCAACGACCAAAACCAAATCTATCTACTTCTTCCTTGTTGTTCGATTTTACCTCTTTCAGCTGTGCGTTGAGGATTTTAACTTGCCCTTCGTATGTTTCTTCTCTTTGCGTCGCCTGCGATTATTTTACATTAACGAATATATAAAAAAAACAGCGAAAACGAAACTCCATGCTGTATCACACAATGTTGCTATTAGAAAAAAAATCTTATTTGTTATTACTGCAACACTGACAGATACCATAAAGTTAAAAGAGGTAAATAACGATTAATATTTAAAAACTAAAACATCAACTGTTAAAAAAGTAAAACAACATCTAAAAAAAAAGAAAGGACGGAATATCGGTATGGATAAAACAGAATCTGCGCAGGACGCACTACGTTCTTTGCCTGTTTTACCACAATTACTGTTAGTTAAGTAAATCAGGCATAGACTACGCTACATGAAGTAGGTGTACAATAAATGCAGTTAGGCAAGCGTAAAAAACACTCGCAAATAAACCGATCCCGTTCGCTTTCACACCTCCTTTAGGCGGGTGGTGAGGGTTTTGATCTGATTTTTGTACTCCTCCTCACGTTGGTTGGCCTGTGTGGAACGGAACTTGATTAACCTTCTACAAATAGTTTTAGGAACCATAAAATTAACTAATAAGTTTTATAATTTGCAGTATAATCGTACCAAAAAACATACAGACATACGAGGAAATTTAATTTTTGTCTTATATTGAATTACTACAATAAATGGTTGGTGCGAAGTCACACAAAAAAAATTGTCAATTTTTAATTTTGATATTTAGGCTTAAAAATACACTGGAATTCATAATGGCTTTTGTATTTAAACGTCTATATTTCAACATACCTTCTCCTCGGAGACTTCCAGGGATTTCAGGTTGTTACCAACAACACGGAGTTCTTCCTCAAGCTCCACGATTTTGCTAGAAAAAAGTAAATGCGAAAATCAATTTTAACTGAAAATTATTTTTACGCTTTATGTATAAAATTCTAGTTGACTCAGAAATTACTTTAAATCTAACGAGGTCTCAAATCATAAGTTATAATGTATCTTTAGTTTGTTGTTACACTCTCTCTTAGAACGAGTGATGCAAAATCCTCTAATACTGTTGTTAGACAAATATTTGAACATTTTTACAATGCAATCTTTCAGATAATAATAATTCTTGAGTTTACATAATAATAATAAGTATTTATACTAAGTTTTATAATTCACAAAGCGTGCAAGATACATCGATCGTAAAACTTTTGTCTTAAGCTTATCCATATTTATTATGATTTAAGAACAGTTATGCATTACAAATATCAGTACAATCATATTGAAATTATGGATAATAGCCACAGACAAAACATGCATATAACATAATATTAATAAATTAAATTAAAATTGCTGCGTAAAATTTCAAAACAAAGCATTTTTAAATTTTTATATAGGAATACGTACCAGAGACAATACATAAAAAAATTATCATTTAATAAAATATGAAATAAGATACCATTAATAGAGTAATTTAACCGAATTCATCATCATAACTATTGTTTACAACCCGACGTTTGGACCTAAACAACTTATTATTGCTTCAAATATTATGTGCTAGATTTTGATCCTGAGGTTAAACTTATTAGCATTACCCGGGTAATGATGAAGTTAATCAGTAAATATACATATTATATCGAATTATCAATCCATTTCGAGTTTATTATTTTTTACAATATTAAAACTCCCGAATACCTACTAGGACGTAATTTTGTTACTATTATTAAAACGATTTCTGTAATTATTTTTCATTAAGAATATCATTACAAGGTATTGTATGTACAGAGGCGACTAGTTCAGTTACCAACCATGTGGCTTACTGGTCAGTGCGTGTGTGACTTATGTCGTCAGCCTTGGCATCGAATCTCAGTCGGCACCAACACTTGTACGGAAACAAATCACGCCAAAATCAGTTTATGCCCTGATTAGAAATGGTAAACCCATTTCACTTGTAATCGTGATTCGAATTCCACCAAGAAGTCTACATAACTTTAGTAAACTATCTATTCAGTAAAGGTATCTTGAGGAGCTCGTCTATCTTAGTACCACTCTATTACCTATATCTGCCGCTAAATAGCAGTGAACGGACTGGTTAGTTCCAGTATGATAAGTACAGAGAACTAGTTTAATCTCAGGCTCTGAAGCATTGCATTCAAGTTCTCAAGTGACAACGCATTAGTAGCCCTCCTAATTTGAAATTGATTGCACGTCATCACCAAATTACGACTATTATTGTGACGCTAATCTTACGCAAAAATACTCTAAGAATGGTATCCCGAAGGTAGGTAGGTAGTGGAGGGTCCCCGGGCGACGCGGCTCACCTGTCGCTCTGCTCGGCGCGCTCCTCGGCCCGCTCGAGGTCCTGCTCCATCATGACGAGCTTGCGCGCCACCTACCGCCCGCCGAGCGTTAGTACACGCCCACACGCACACACACACAACACACACTACGCTACGGAGCCGCGCGCCACTCACGACCGCTCGCCTCGACGGTGCACACCACTCAAACTACGTTCTGCACCACCAGGAGATTCATAATGGCGGCTGGGGCATGTGCATGGGGCATGAGCTTGAGGTGAGAATGTGAAGGAGGAATGTAGGCGGGTTATGACAAATTATCTAAAGGAAATGGTGAATTTGAGGGTTCAACAGAATGGCTTTAGCCCCAATAAGGGTTTATAGTCGTAAAATGTTTCTACTTGTATTGTCAGTGCAACAACTAAATATTTACCTGTGTACTTAAATGAAAGGGTAAAAGCGAACAAACAGGCGATAGGAATTAATACAAAGCGAGGAGTCGAGAGTGGCGTCCGAACTCAATAAGTAAATAATAAACGAGGGTTGTCCCAAAACATTTAGCTCTAAATATTTAGTATCAGTATTGTTTAAGTTAATCTAAGTGCTATCTAGTGCGTCAACGTATTCGTTATGTGATGTGTGCGCTTGCATATGTGCGGCACGCATACGGCCAGTAATTCTGGTGTAATGCGGTGCATATCTGAAAACGAAAATTGCCCTATACCACACATATTCCTTAGAAACCTAACCTAGCCACGTTCAATAATAACACACACTAAGGACAGAAGTTTAGTCGACACATTGACACGATAGTAAACATAAGAAATATCCATGAGATGGGGCAACCCTTGTTTTTAGTCTGAAATAACAAGATAGAGACGCTTGCGTTTTTAACGGTCCGCAAGCGACCCTGTCCTGCACGATATTAACATTACGCAATCTCAAAATAAAAATCAACAGGCAGCAGCACTAAGCAGTTAATTTAAATAATGCAAATTAAAAATAAATATCCTCGTTCGCTGCGTCCATCTCGTAGAAAAACTAGAATTTACATGCAAACAAAACATCCAACGTCAAGAATTTACACCGATGTAGGTAAATCGGTTTAAGTGCAGATGTTAACAAATTATAATGGGCAAAACCATGCAGTGGCAGAAAAATTTGTTGCACAACATAACCTTATGGACCCCACAGCGTAACATTTCGACATCAAATGACATCGTAAATAGAATAAAATGTGTACAGCATACATTTTTGTCAGAAATTGATGCTAATAAGTCTTGCAAGTCTTTTTCATTCACTTTAATCTTTGTAAATTATTTATCTAAAAAATCTAAACGATAAAGTGCTATGAAATGTAAAAATACTAATGATGGCAAATTGTATGCTAATTATTGTATCCATTTAGGAATTATCACAATGTATCGTGTTCCGCTGCGGTCCCTGAACAAAGGCAATGAAACCTACGATTCACCGGTCTCGGCACGCTCCTCCGCGCGCTCCAAGTCTGCCTCAACCATGGCCAGCTTACGAGCCACCTGAAGACACCACCACAATGTAAGAAATCTTACTAAAATTCAACGCACACAATCTACCAATACTTAATCTTGTGCAACCGAGCCCTTCATATATGGCCGTAAGGCTTATGTAACACACGCAAGGCAGGGCACTTGTTCGACCATATAAGGCGAAGAAACTCAAGATCAGACGCGATACCTTTCCTTTTAGGCTGCTGACTTCTACAACTGCCTTCACTGAACAGGGTCATACGTCAGGGGAATTGGGACAGAGTATGAAACCATCTGGCGCCCACACGTCGCGTTTTTGTTTCTTTTTATAAATTTCCTCCTTGCGAATCAAGTACAAATAAGGAATGAAAGACACTATCGTGAATGAATACTTGTATGGAAATGCGATAAATTATCGTCTATTGAAAGAACTATATATATTTGTCATAAAAGACACATCATCATGCTAGGTATTAGATGCACACATGAATTAGCAAAACATTTAGGGGAATTTCTGTTTAATAGGACTGTATTAGTTTCAACTTCGTACATTGAGTACAACAAATACAAGTTATGATTGAATTCAAAATAGGGAGACAGATATAGAAAGACAAAGAAGGCATGTGTAAGTATTATATGAACTTTCTTCTGTAGATAAGATTTATTAGGGTAGATCAAAATTGAATGCACACACAAATGGAATTATGTATATCTTGAGCAAATATTAAATTGCTCTTCATAGATAAAAGTTATATATTGTGGCCAGTTTAAATATTCCGTTTTGTACAGAATATATGCGTACGTAGTTATGAAGCAGGACAAGCAAACCAAACGACATCTAAACTCAAAGACCTCATCGTATTTCTTGTCAGCTTCCTCAGCGAGGAACCTGGCTTCCTTCAGCTGGTTCTCCAGGGCGTCCATGCGCTCCTCATCTGCCAAGGACCTGTTCTCCAGAACCTTGCGGGCACTAAACGCCACAAAACAAAACTTAAATAAAATGTCAACTTTATTAAACCTATTAAAAGCTAATCACTATAAATAAATCAAGGGTGACCCGAGAGTTAAAAGACATGCAAGGACGAACACAACTAATCTGCAAGAAACACTCAAAGCGTACAAACAAGTTCGGATCGAAACATCTGCAAGAGAAACGGTTTGGACTCGGCGTTGAATGTTATTCACACATTACAACGTTTTTACATTTAACGCCGATTCCTTATCAATTTTATAGTGCTTCTGCGTTTTGTTTTAGAAATAATCTCTTATACGTAACTAATCAGAATTTACAAAAGGTTGAAGCAATATATACATTTCAAAAAATAACATTAAAACAAGTTACACGTTACGTGTCATTGTATACGTAGAATGACAAAAATCCTAACATATTGGAATAATTTTACAAACTTGTTATTGTGTTTTATTGTATAGTGTGACAGGGCTGGCTATAGAATCCCAAGACTACGAACAGTGACATTTATACAATAGATATTGGACTTGACATTTAATTTTCTCTGCAGTAAGGTGAAACGACTTTTGCCAAAAACTTTTAAGTCTTCGTCGTATATGTATCGTAGGTATATGCTCACATTACAATTTAAGACCGACATATTGACATATCGATTTCTCGTATTAACGTTCTTTCAAGACTCGTTTTCTTTGGACTTGTAGAAATAAATTTTGCTGCACTTGAACAAGTTTAGGAACGTAACATGGTAAAAATGACACTAGATAGATCGACTTAGGTACCCAAAATTCTAGCATATAATGACACGCAACTCATATTTTTATATTATGGTTAAGGTTTCACCTCTTCGTATTTCTTGTCAGACTCTTCGGCGATGAGTTTAGCTTGCGCGAGCTGAGCTTCCAAGATGGCGACACGATCGTCCTCCATGTTTGTTCGATTCTCCAACGCCTTGCGTATTCTGGTTAGTGCGGGGCCAAACACATGCATGTTATAACATCGGTAGACATGTAAGTATGGTCATGTAACATTTTTTTTATTCAATGAAGTGAAGTAAAGGAAAGGAAAAACACATCAAAAAGCACCTATGTTTTGCATTCATCCTTACATTGTTTTATTGTTAGCATACATTACACAATTAAATTATGAAAATTTTTGGTTGATCAAGATTTACTGTTACTGTATTTTTATTGTCTGTATGCAAATGGTAACACTAAAGCGTATTTACGTTGATATTTTTTAATTCTAGATATATATACAGTACTCTCTCGCTAATCCGCCACCATAAAATCCTAATTATCGGCGGATTACTGAAAACCGCGGATTACAATGTACAGTAACAACAAATTGAAAAAAAAAAAAACAAAAAATTTATGATTTATGATGTTTTAAGTAATCAACAAACATGAATCTTTTATTAAAGTATTTATTAATATTTGGAAAAAAAATGGCTGCTTGTTTTTGCCAAAATATATCTTTTTCTGACAACTTCATCGCGCATTTTACGTAAATTTGCAAACATATCGCATGGCTTTCCATTTTCTTGAGCCCATTCCATTTTCTTGAGCCCATTTAATGCAAATATCTACGCTATTCAGGGCATCTTCAGATTTGACAGTGGTAACACCATGAAACATGACTTCTTCGTCTAATAAGTTGTCCGGCTATCTAACACTCTTTAATCCGGGCGGACTAAAGACCGGTTGTTTAGCACCGTGCGGTGGAGTATAAGAATTATGTTCGTCTTACGCATGAAAGAGAGGTAAGACGGCGGATTATCGAGTCGAAGACTTATAGTGCCGGCGGATTACAGAGTTTAATCAAGACCAATCTCCAGTCCAAAAACGGCGAATTATCGTACTTGTCGGATAATCGAGCGGCGGATTAGCGAGAGAGTACTGTATTATATTTGATATTAAAAGTAATTGGGATAAAACACAAAACACACATGCAAACGTAAATTTGAAACAAAATTAAAATAAAGGCAGGCATTATAAATTTTAAGCAGCCGAAATAGATTTCGTGAACGTCGGTACCAATAATTTTACATTTAACTTTTATAAGAAACCACACTTTCGGCTGCTCGTATCTCAGATGCTTAAAATTCATATTACCTATTAAACTTTACTTTTGTAATAACAAGTCCATACTGTGTAGCTTATAATGTAAAAATAACTATATAAAATTTGACCCACTTCTTGTTTTCAATCAATATTAAATTGCTTTAGGGGTAATATAAAATACCTACTAAAGAACTTTATAACATTAATTACGTATCGCGTAACTTTCTCGGCTGATGTCAAAAGATCCAAAACCCACAAAGATAAATTTGTGAAAGGTCAGTCTTTTAAATCAATGGAAATACATAAGAGATACAAAAAAATTTGCAGAATAGGTTTTTGATATTCTATTAGTTTGTCTGTACCGGACTATCAAGCTAGACTACTGCAGCTTGCACTTAATTATACTCCTACAAGAAATTAACGAAATTATCGCAATGTATTTCTCTCGTTCCTCATCCAAATCGGATCCAATTTAAATTTTTATTTCACGAACAATAAAAGGATTCTACTTAAACAATTAATTTATGAAAAAGAAAACAAAACCGGAATATGGCAGTGGTAGATACAAATTTGATTGTAAGATAATATTTGATTTAGTGTCATTGTCGATCCAGAGAAAAAACAGAGGAATAAGTTTGTAAGGACTAAACGCCGACCGAATACCCTCATCAAAAGTGGGATTTTGAAGTCCTAAATGGCGTCATAACTATTTCTTTTATTTAAAATAAAACGCTATCAAAATAAAATTACTATTATCAAAATTGATTATTATAATCATAATTTTTATCGCAACACAGCCGTTTGCTTTTAATCAACTAAATCATACCTTGAGCGAAATAACAGTTTGGTAGACTTTACAACGTTATGAATGCAAAACATTCTTTTAGCTACTAACTACAAGTCTCCAAAGTTTCCGTATTGTAATAGTATTGCAGAATATCGATTACTTAATTGGCAAAAGCCCCTAACTTTATGCAGCCCTTACACTCACAATAAAGGGTTATGACTCACCGTTCTGACTCATCAGCAGCTTGGCTGGCCTCCGCTAACTTAGCGGTGGCTGTGGCGAGACGCTCCTCAGACCTCTCAAGGTCTTCTTCTAGCAGTTGGATACGTCGGTTGAGTGCAGCCACTTCTGATTCGGCCTGTGGAAACATATAATTTTATTATCCTCAATTTTTGATATCAATGCTATATCACATCCACCCCTTTCATATCTATAAACTGTTTCATATTTGAAAACGAGACATGCAATCCCAGTCTGTCCTAACCATCATCATCATCATTACCCTTCGTAAGTCTATGTACTGCTGAACAAAGACTTCCTCTAAGAAATGACTGCACGGCTTACCAGGTCGTCATTCCACCTAGTATGTGTTCGTCGAGTTATAAGAGTCCAGTACCAATAATATAATGCCACATTATTCTTTCTTGTTACAGTTCGCAACGGTGAACAATTTTCGTTTTGGATTAAAAGAACCATTTATGCAGTTTTATAATTTTTCGTCATCCAGTGAGACATAAATGCGTCTGACTGAAGAAACTAATCAGAATATTTAGCTTTCATATATTCAGTGTAATCATATTATGAGTTGTGTGTGGTAATTTTAGGATAGATTGTACATATAGTAGTATTCACAACTATATCGGATAACGCTAGGCGTAATATTTTTTTAATTAATAAGATAAACAAACGAGCACAGTCCACCTGATTGTAAGTAGTTGCTGTGGCCCATAGACACATAGCTACATCTATCCTTGATTAGGAACAGTAAAAAAGGTCTTCGGTTCTCTACACTCACCACACAAAACACAGCAGCGTTAAGGGGAAATATAACCTCAAATGGCTTAGCAAGATCCTCCGTTATGCCGAAAGTATTGCAGCATTAATTTTGAAATAAATATATGGTAAAGTTGAGGATTAATGTTAAGGTTACTATGTTAGACGAAAACACGATTCCGTAAAATTTTCTCGATAGAAAAAAAATCCAAAGTTACCTCCAAACTGAACAATAAACCGCTGTTATTCATAAAATACTTTAAATAAGATCATGAAACTTTGCATACTAACTGAACTAACCATAAAGCAGTGCTTATGTTATTTACTTTTTTTTAAATATCATTATTTTCACTTCACTGCGGAGCGACAGGAACCAAGCTTACGCGCCGATAGTTTAGGTAATTTCTTTTTACAGTGAAAATAATGATATTTAAAAAAAAAGTAAATAGCATAAGCACTGCTTTATGGTTAGTTCAGTTAGTATGCAAAGTTTCATGATCTTATTTAAAGTATTTTATGAATAACAGCGGTTTATTGTTCAGTTTGGAGGTAACTTTGGATTTTTTTTCTATCGAGAAAATTTTACGGAATCGTGTTTTCGTCTAACATAAACCTTAACATTAATCCTCAACTTTACCATATATTTATTTCAAAATTAATGCTGCAATACTTTCGGCATAACGGAGGATCTTGCTAAGCCATTTGAGGTTATATTTCCCCTTAAGCTGCTTTTTACGCTGGTATTCTGTGAAAGCGTGGTCTTTCCCCGGTCGAGCCGACCAATGCGTGCTGCAATTATACCACTAATATAACTGCAGCATGGCTCTACCGTGTAAAATATATGCATAATATAAAATATTGATATGCATTATATCCCACCAACAAATAAATGTGAAAAAGGGGTTAAGTAGTTGGCTCAATAACGAGTTAGTATCTGAACTGGAGCCAAGTGTCCTAGCAGTTCCTTAAATTATAGCCATAGGTATGTACAACGTTCTTCATTTGGTTTTAATTAGTAATATTATTATGATGATAGAGCTTAAAAAACAATACTTTTATATAGGTACTACTACTACTACTATTATATAGGTATGTACAACGTTCTTCATTTGATTTAAAATAAAATTTGATAGGTACGTTCAATACGAATTTGTAACTTCGATCAGTTATAATTCGATACGACACGACAGTATCAATAATTTTTGAGTGTTGTCCCTAAAATAATGTGGAAATATGTACATAAACATCAATGTTTTTCCAAATTAAAAATATTAGAAGGAAATGACGACAAAGTTATTATTTTCAACCAACTTCAAAAAAAGGGAGGTTTTAATTTCATGTATTTTTGTATGCGTGTTACCTCAGAACTTTTTTCTAGGTGAATCGATTTCGATGATTCTTTTTTTATTTGAAAGCTGGTGTTTCATGTGTGGTCCCATATACATTTGATCAAAATCTGACCAATCTTTTTTGAGTTATCCTTAATAATGCGTATTTAATTGACTTGGACTACATTGACTATGTTTTTATTTTAATTATACGTAAGTCGGTTATACAAAATGTTTAATTTTATCACTTGTGTAGGGTTAGTTTTAATTATATTTCAAACTAACCGCACCAATAACTGTTCTAAGTAAGTCACCTAGAAGTGGCCTAGGTTTTTGATGAGGGAATCATCAGAAATCAACCTTAATAATAACTCGATAACTATAATAGTTTATACATGACTTTTGGAATTCTATGTATGTTAAGAATAAAATGAAACTAACCGCACAATAACGCAAGTCAACCTAGAAGTGGCCTAGGTTTTTGATGAGGGAATCAGTCAGTAATCAAAATGGCTATTTTCAGACCTTAATAAGTAATAACTCGATAACTATAATAGGTTTATACATGACTTTTGGAATTCTATATATGTTTAAGGCGGCCTAACAATAAAATGAAAAATTATACGTTGTATATTCATATAATAGTTTTCAAATTATTGGGGGTCGAAAGATGCTCGTTTTGATTTGTGTAAATAGGTACACACTGCCGGTGCGTCACCCTTTTCTTTTCCAAACTTGGATTAGCCAAGTCCAAACTTGTCACTGTCCTGTATCTTGATTTTGTCATAATTTACAATTCGACAGAGGAAAAAATGTTGATTTAATTAACTTTTGTTCTTAGACGCTGTGTACCTACAACAGTCGCATTGTTAAATGTCGGCACATTATACGTGTTGAGAATAAGCAGTCGATCGGAATATTTTACTAGTAACGACATTATTTATATTCACTGACTTGCACATGTTTATGACATCACGCGTCCTTGTTGCGAGGATGCTCAAACGAGTCCCAGTTTCTCATTTTATCCTGTGTCGTCATAAATGCGTGGTTGTTAATAATAACTACTGAGTATGGAATGGAACCAATCGTTTAGGTAGTAATCGTATATTCAATTCACTCTTGTTTATATAAAGTGAATCCATAAACATTTAAGACAAGACATGAAAAATAGAATTATTTGTTCAATACCTCCAATGTCATTAGGCCATTGGTATATTAGGTGACTTTGAACCCATATTAGCGAATATTATCTGCTTAATACAATGAACTCCAGAAAAAAAGGAAGTAGACATTTTTTTAAATAGCCTCTCTAAATTCAAAAAGTTACTTCTATAGCTGTGCAAGTTTGAGTACGGAATAATGTTCGATTAGTCTAGTTTTTTTAAATATTTTATCACTTTTTAAATAAACATTAAACACACTTGCAAGTCGAGGTAGCCTGTAATTAAATCTGCACATAGCTTAAGAATTTAAAGCGTTTGGTGTAAGATTTGTTTGCTGTCATTAATAACTAAATTAATTAATTAATCAATAATGTACCTACTACCTAAATTATTAATTACTTTCGATAATATAACGTCGTCAAAATTTAATTCATATCAGTTTTCTTTGGTTTTAATTAGTAATATTATTATAATGATAGAGCTTAAAAAACAATACTTTTAAGTAACTGCTACTTTACTACTTTTTTGTCCTATATAGTCCTTATAAACTACCTATAATTATTTAGATATAAGTAAAAAATAAAACTATTTATATATAACGTACGTAGGTACGTTAGACGCTACATAATCTATTACGTTAACTAAGCCCATGTTTTTTATTACCTTTCGATCTGTGCACGATTTTTGTGTCTGGTAATTTTAGTATAGATTAACTCCTTACCACTAACCTTATCAAATCTAGAAAACACGTTAACTACTTTCCTACATTTTAAGTACAAAATAAGCGCCTGACATAGACTAAGGTCTAGTACATTATCATCATTACAGCCCTTGACAAGTGTACTGCTGAACATAGGCCTCCCAAGGATAGCCCACAAAGCACGCTCCTAATCCACCTGAGTTGAATTAAGAACTAGTGAGAAATTATTATTTTGCATAGAAAAATCTTACATCTTTTAACTTTTAACTGCTTGTCATCTACAGTTAACAATTCCTTATCTTTTATCTGACATAATTTACTAAAACTGAAAATGCGGTTGGTAATTTTTACATTACTAAAACATGTGATGAAAATCGGTAGTCTACATTCAGAAATAGTTGCACAACAATGTTCAAGTTTTTTATTTCACAAAAATAGGAAGAATTATTTAAAAATACCTATTTAAATACGTGTACATTGGGAACTGCGAGAAATTGTTCTTTATAACCTATAGAACATTACGTCATAATATGATAACAGCCAAAAGTCGGACACGCCTTCCTGGCGCCGGTGCGGTCCTGCTAGGAGCTAGGAAATCTAAACAGAAATGGTTTTAGGGTAGCAGGCCTCCACGTATAATGGATGGTAATATTATCGACTCGACAACTCGACATCATGTGCTAGTGCTACACAACCAGCACGCGATTTTCAACCATCAAACCTGATTACGGATAATATCATGAATGGCACAAAAATTTAGATACCATTAATTTTGTTAAAGATATTAAAGAAAGCCTAGTTACGGTTTCTCATAAAGAGAAACCGTAATTTTGTTCGATACACATATTAAATCTATGGTAAGAATGAGTTAACCATTAAAAATAATGATCGCTATTTCACTTAGACACACTGTAAAGCAGCTGTAGTAGAAAGAGAGGTAAATATGCGTACGTCGAAGGCACACCTAAGTATGGCCGGACATTACTCACTATAGGTAGATAGCAATAGAACTACTGATATATCTCCTCAATCTAAACGAAATTTAAATTTCTCACAAATATAAACACATACGATCATCGAAATTTTCACAAAACACAACACAACACAAATTAACACAATTCCTTACTTCTTCTCTTCGCATTATTTCCACTTGCAATCGTTTGTGGTATTCCTC